TCTTCTCTAGACGTTGGAGCAAGCGAGCTAAAAGATGGAAGGTGGTGATTGTGAAAGAAAAGAACACATACAGCTATCTTCCTGTTCTGTGTGCAAATCTGCTTAAAGAAGCCAGCAAGGAGTTCATGAAGAAGATTAAGCCTGTGAGTTCCGAGCAAAATCCAAAGAAAGTTGCTCCAACAATTGCAAGTCTCCCTGCTCCATCAACATCAGAGCTTGTAAAAGAACATGTCTCAAGATTTTAGGCTATCATGCAACAATGATTTAATACAGTATATAACAGTGCAATGTTTTGACTTTGCATTAATGAATTGGCAGTACTCTACCACTCACAGGTAAATTTGTCTGGTGTTAGGAGGACTACAATACTTAATTTAAGTAGAGCACATCTGTAAAACCACAACAATTTTCTTGTCAGTGGTAGGGTACTGCCAGTTAATTGGTTAATAAATGATTTATGGGAATTAATGTTAGTGTGTATACATGTCCTGTTGTTCAGTGTTCAGCAAAAGAAAGGAAATATGAAAAAATATATTGTCTTTATCTCTCCTTGAATCCAGTGTACCGACCATCAGGTGATGGGTAATGTTTTCTTATTTTCCATACACAGCATGAGGGAATGACTTTCCGATTACCCTTACCCAAATGACCATGTATCCACATAACATATTGTCTGTAGGCTGCATGCCTCATTGCCCGATTGTCATATGTTGGAGTAAATACATATGTATCTGCTAGACTCCTTATGACAGTTGCCAAATTATCGGAATCTAGGCAAATGTTTTGGAATGCCAATGTTGTACTGCGGCACAGTCGCCTTTCTTTACAGCATACCCTCTCTTTGTCTGTTGGCATCTTACGGCAATACCCACAAACACAGAACGGTATCTCAGATGTCTCGCTTGATTGTTGGAGTTCCTCTGGACCTGCTGTAACTTTGGTGATGAAGTCTTTTAACACTAGTGGTCGAGACATAAAACCCTCCTTTGCCACTTTTACTAGGGTCTCTCTGTCCAACCCATCAATCATTTCCTAAATAACAGATGGTAGAGCAAATAATTATAAAAACTTAAACGGGCAGGGCTTTCAAAATAACCAGAAGGTGTCACAAGGTTTTAGTAAGCTTTCAATTCTTTTTTTATATCCCCACAGCCACCTACTTTATCAAAACAGACACCTACTCTGAATAATTCTGAAAGCCCTGAAAGGGCAATATAAACTCCATCAAAGAAACACATGGAAACTCTTTATTGCACCCACATTGTAATGGTTACATAGTTTACACCCTATGGCTTGTTTCAGTTTATAGTTGATTCATCTTCCTCAAAACATATTAAAATATTCGGAACGCGATAATTGCAAATACCATGCAAATTACCTCGACTGACACTTCACTCTGCTCATTTGTTTCGCTTTGTGGCGCTACTGTCTCTCTGCCTGTTTGACTCCGAGGTTGTGCCTACAGCAAGAAGAAAATAATTGTTTTCTCTATATAAAATATAGTCATGAAAGGCACAGCTGCACAAGTACCTTACCTTATTCTGACATGGTTTACTATTGGTACCACAAGAGCAGTTCTCTCCACACAAAACTCCGTTGCCTTTACAAACACAGCCAGTTATTTTCCCACTTGCAGCGGTTTTCAGTTTGCGCATACACTGTGATTTACATGAGCAATTCACTGCAGGTGGGGCGATCGACTGTAAAATATACAAATCATATTTATCAGTATAAAGTTGTTGTCTATTTTGCCAATTAGTTTCAAATATTCATACGAAAAAGCAGACATTTACCTCGCTAGATTCATCTGACTCTTCAAGCGATGAATCCATCGCCATCTGACTTTCTTCGCTTTGGAAAAGTGATGATCCATAATAGTTTAATACAGACGCATCCTCTTCGCTTTCCGCCATATTCAACAGAACTATAGTATTTTATCCTGATTATTTACATATTTGCGTGAAATATGAGCCGTCTGTATGATGCTCATCAATCAACAGCGGTGTTTAAGGTCACGTGGGGTGGTGTATTCTGCCTTTAAAGAAGGTTAAAGCATCTAAGGCACCAGGCCTTGCTAAGATTTCTAGTAAATCACTTAAAGCAGCAGGGGACTCCATAATTGAATCACTCATGTACTTATTTAATCTTGTTTTGAACACTGGTATTTTTCCGGATGATATGAAACTTGCAGAAGTTACTCCAATCTATAAATCTGGAGAAAGGACCAACTGTGGTAATAATAGACCTATTCAGTTCTATAATATCAGTTGTTGCAAAAATCTTGGAGAAGACTATTTATAATCAAATATTTGACTTCCTAAAACAAAATTCACTTTTGGTGAATCAACAATTAGGCTTTGGTCCTCTTTACTCAACCGAAATTACACTCTTACATTCCGCTAACCAATGTCTTATTAATATGGACAAATGTCTGATTAATGACTTTTATTTCTAGATCTCAAAAAAATATGGAATAAGAGGAACCGCTTTACATTTATTTCAATCTTACCTCTCTGAAAGAAAACAAATATGTAAACTTCAAAATACAATGTCAGAAGTTGCTAATGTAACTTGCGGTGTTCCCCAGGGATCAAACCTTGGAAAAACTTTCTGTTATACATTAATGACCTCCCTAATTGCCTAGAAGAAACACAAGCTTCCATGTGTGCGGACGATACAAACTTGTCTTGTCGAGGTAAATCGCCGCAGAAATCGAAAACAAAATTAAAACTGACTTAGAAAACGTACATAAATGGCTAATTGCCAACAAATTAACATTGAATCAGGAAAAAACTGAATGAATGCTGGTAGGCTCAAGACAGACACTACAACAATCTTCAAGTAATCCTCAAATAGTTATTGGCAACCATATTATACAGCAGGTCTCAAGTAAGAAAGTTCTTGGGGTCATTATTGATGAACAGTTTAAGTGGAAAGAACATAACGATGCAAAATGCAAAAAAAATTGCAATTCAATTGCTCTCTTGAAAAGATCAAGGCATTTTGTAAGTCAAGATACACTTCTAAACATGTTCAATGCACTTGTCCTACCTCATTTCACATACTGTTCGAATGTATAGAATGATGGCAGTTGTGCACATATTCAAAAACTACGCCAATTGCTTAAGCGAGCCTCTCGAGTGATAACAGGGGCGGATCAAGGATTTTTCGTACCTCAGTCAAAATTTTTTTGGTGGACGGGGCGTTGTCGGCGCTGGGCGTGGTCTCGACTGGGCGTGGTCGACTCCTGACGGGGGGGAGTGGGCGCTAAATAATTTTTATGTTGATAGTCCGCCACCGGATTTGTAGAATTTTCCGTACATAAAATGCGATTTGGTCCCCCCCCCCCACACACACACACACACCTATTAACCTAAATCCTAATTAACCAAATTATAAAACATATTTAGATTAAATTGACAAACTCAAACGAACATTTGATTCTTATCCACAGGCACTGTAAGAACAACTACAAATGCACAAAGATATATTGATCCCATTTCAATACAAAATTTTAGGGATATGTTACAGTTATATAATACTTTAAAACTCAGCAGCAATTTAACATGTTTGCCTGTGGATTAAGAATCGTCGTCATATTGGTACTATATGCTTATAAGTGTATCATTATAAAACTTCTAAAATCATATGGCAGCAAATGCATTAAGCAAATATACTGTTCTGTTACCAAAAACACAGAACTATACATAACAATTAACAAGTAATTGTCAGTGGCCTGAGCTCCAAAAAAACAACCACATATTCATTAACTAAGTCAAAGATGTTAAGTCAAATATTAATAAACTAAACCCTTACTATTAATAAAGTCTTTTACGGTGACCTATATATTGATCTCAAAATATACTATTAATAAACTAGTAACATCAGAATGGCTACCAGTCAATGAGCTTTTCAAGCTACCTACAATTAAATATTTCACATCATCATGTTACATCAGACCAATGCGGTCTAACAAGCCATGTCGATAGGCTATGGATAAACAATACACGTATACGCGTTACGCGTACATGTTGTGTGATTAATGCATAAATATAAAGAAATTTTAAATAAAACTTCACTAACATGAGAATCAACAAATGCTTGCAATGTAGACATTGAATATTAACATATTTTAGCTTCTTGACGCGAGAATTATGCTAATACAGCAATACAGCATGGCGAATATATTAAAATATCATATGTCAGACAATCATTAACAACACTAATGGCTTGGTACTCCGGTTTGTAAACGTTTAATATGAACTAAAGATACATCACTATAAAACCATAAATGTATCTACCTTATTGCAGTGCAAGCTTTGTCTTTCTCTAGCAGTAGCTCTCTGCGCCAAAATTTCTAGCGAGGCTTCTGCTTGTGTTGTTGATGGCGCCGCTCAGTACTTGTCAACAAAATTCGTCCGTGAGGCATCGATATTCTTTTCAAGCTCCGTATACAAACGTTGTATAGAGATTCCAAATTGTTTGCCGCAATCGCAAACTGAACATTGTCGAAAATGTTTCCAGATATCGCTGGTAGAAATCGCTCGTAATAGTAAACATTCGAAATAGTAAACACTCAGAGGTAAACACTAATGCGGTTTTGACGAATACCTGACGCTGCGAATCCGTCGAATATATAAGCGAACAACAGTGCAGAACTTTTTTAAATGGTTCAATCAAAAGGCTCATACAGAGCCCCTGAACCTGCAAATCTGTCAGGCCTCCCCACAGATCCGTCGCAAATGCCCGTAACCATGGAAATGACCGTGTCAGCCAATCAGATAGCCGGATTTGACCCCCGAATCCGTCAACTTTCATGCGTAAGACCGCTGTTCGTGACTGACTGACTAACATTACTTTGTTGAAGCTCTGCGGCAGCATGAAACGTATAACTTGCAATAGACAATGATATAATGCGAAAAATGTACACCTTAATTACGAGTAAAGGTACAGACATCGACGAAAATATTGCTAACCAAAATCATGCTACTCGTACCCATACACCGAAACCGGGCTATCGTAACCTCTCTATTTAAAGCATTACGGGGTGAAACCCCTAACTACTTGTCAGACCTGTTTGTCGCCGGTCATAATGACACGTATCAATTAAGAAGTAATGATCCGAAACTTTATTTAAACAAGCCAGACACAAACTTTATGAAAAATAGCTTTTCATACCGCGGAGCTCTATCCTGGTATAGTCTTCCAGCTGAAATTGTCGATGTATACGACCAACCTTCCCTGTATTCTTTTAGAACTTTAATAAATCATCACTACAAGGACTTGGAGGGAAATACATCGACAACTTAATTAACATAATTCTCTTTTGTTAAAATTGTTGTAAATAGATAGTAAGTGTTTTGTATTTCTAAACAATGAATGTATGTATTCATAAACGGCCTCTTGAAAATCAGTTTTTCTTTAGCGTTGAAGGGCTACTGTTTTCAAATAATTTTTAATAATAATAATAATAATAATAGAGTTCAATCCGCGTTTTACTAATAGAGTCCAGTCCGCGTTTTACTTATAGAGTCCAGTCCGCGTTTTACCAATAGAGTTCTGTCCGCGTTTTACTAATAGAGTCCAGTCCGCGTTGTACTAATCTGAGTCCAGTCCGCGTTTTACCAGCATATGCCAAATTTTTCGACCTTCGGCGCCTTGTATTTATATATATATATATATATATATATATATATATATATATATATATATATATATATATATATATATATATATATATATATATATATATATATATAAAATCATAATTTTTACAAAATTATACTGCAGTGTTCTCCGGATTGTAATTATTTGTTTCGAGCTTTCGACTCGGTATTGCGATTCTTCATCAGGAAGATTGATCATTTGAATTTCGCGCTGTTGTTGACGCTGTTGAAGTCTGTGGGAACGTCTGATTGGTTGATGGATTTCATTATGTTGGTTGCCATTGGTTACTATGAAATGCGGGTGATTATTGTTATCATGAGACGGTGTAGGGAAGGAAGTTGAGGGTGGGTTAATGGTTAATGAAGATGAATTAGGAGATTTGTGTGAGCCTTTCAGTTGTAAGTAAATTGTAGGAATGTCAATGTGACGGTTAAATGTTTGTTTGTCTAAACTATGCCACGCTTCTTTAAACTCACGGGCATGTTTAGTAGTTGCTTGTCCTCGGCATCTCGTTCGAGACCAGTCGAATTTATGTCCGTTGTCGTCTGTGTGTTTAGCTGGAAGTGAGCTATGGTCTTGTCTGTTGATTGCGTTCTGGTTAGTCTTGTCTGAATCTTTTTAGATGTTTGTCCAATGTACTTATTCGGACAGTTTTTGCCCGGGAAGATATATACGATTAGATACGATAAGATTATACGATTGTAATTATTTCTGAAAAGCCATTTTGGAGAAATAAACTACTACTGCTACTGCTACTGCTACTGCTACTGCTACTGCTACTGCTACTGCTACTGCTACTGCTACAACTGCTACAACTACTACAGCTACTACAGCTACTACAGCTACTACAGCTACTACAGCTACTACAGCTACTACAGCTACAACAGCTACTACAGCTACAACAGCTACAACAGCTACAACAGCTACAACAGCTACAACAGCTACAACAGCTACAACAGCTACAACAGCTACAACAGCTACAGCAGCTACAGCAGCTACAGCAGCTACATCAGCTACAGCAGCTACAGCAGCTACAGAAGCAACAGCAGCAACAGCAGCAGCAGCAACAGCAGCAACAGCAGCAACAGCAGCAACAGCAGCAGCAGCAACAGCAACAGCAACAGCAACAACAACACCAACACCAACACCAACACCAACAGCAACAGCAACAGCAACAGCAACAGCAACAACAACAACAACAGCAACAACAACAACAACAACAACAACAACAACAACAACAACAACAACAACAACAACAACAACCACAACAACAACAACAACAACAACAACAACAACAACAACAACAACAACAACAACAACAACAACAACAACAACAACAACAACAACAACAACAAATAATAATAATAATAATAATAATAATAACTCTTCGGGCCATTTGAGGAAGTGCACGATTGGTTATATCAGCAGATCGATGGCGAAATGATACGCGAGACAGCATTGTGAACCAAGGGCTCCGGCGGCCCTTCAGGAGTGGATGCAAATGGATTCAAGCATATTTTCGCATGTAAATCGTTTAAGAAATCAGGCGTAAACTTGCGTGAGGCAGTACCAACAATGACCCGGCGGCTATGTACGGAATACATTGACCCGAGAACTATCGAGCCTATATTAGCCAACAGGCCTATACCTCTTGACAAAGGCGAGGGCGCGGTTCGTCCAATTGGCGTCGGGGAATTTATCAGGAGGATTGTCGAGAAATGTGTTATGAAAGTGATTAAGCCCGACGTGATTGATGCCAGTGGATCGCTACATGTGTGCGCAGGTCTTAAGAGCGGAAGTGAGACAGCCGTTTGTGCGATGCACTCCATATTTGAAGCAGACGAGACAGATGCCGTACTTCTGATTGATGCCTCTAACGCATTCAACGCACTCAATTGAGCGGCTGCACTCCACAACATAACAGTTCTGCGTCCATCTATTCAACATACGCAATTAACACCTATCGCGAACCAGCTAGACTATTTATATCCGGTTGAGGAGAGCTCAAGTCCACCGAGGGTACCACACAAGGGGATCCCCAGGCCATGGGGATGTATGCCATCAGCCTTCAACCCCTGATCACCGGATTGAATGTGTCAAGCAACGTTAAGCAATGTTGGTTTGCTGACGACGCGAGTGGCGCGGGATTTCTGGAAGATATTAAGCGATGGTGGGAACACCTGAATGAAGCTGGCCCTAATTTGGGATACTTTCCAAATGCTAAGAAATGCTGGCTGATCACAAAGCCTGGAAAAGAAGAAAGTGGTCATGCTATTTTTGATGGGACAGCGATCAATATCTCTGCGCAGGGGCAAAAGCATTTGGGCGCGGCCTTGGGTTCTATGGCTTTCCTGGAAGAATACGTCAACGGAAAGGTAGAGGACTGGGTTAGCCAAGTCGTCAAGCTAGCTGAATTTGCAGCGTCACACTCACAAGCCTGCTATGCCGCCTTCACCTTTGGCCTCCGCCATCGATGGACGTATTTTCTTAGAACACTTCCAGATATAGAAGATTTACTGGAGCCCTTGGAGCGTGCTATTGCTGATGTCATGATACCATCAATTACGGACCATCACTGTACAAAGAGTGAAAGGGATCTCCTGGCACTCCCAGTACGAATGGGCGGTCTTGGCCTTATAAATCCTAGACAGGATGCAGCACTGCAGTACGAAACGTCGATAAAGACCACATCACCACTGGTAGAGAAAATTATCGCACAAGCCTACGAAATTCCAGATGACTCTGTTATTCACACACTGCAGCAGAATGCGCGAAATGAAAAGAACGAAGTACTTCAGGCTAAACGGGATGGTATTAAGAACTCTCTACCCCCGAAAACACGGCGTGCTATGGAATTTAGCAACTGAAAAAGGTGCATCCAACTGGCTAACAGTTATCCCCATTAAGGAAATGGACTACAATCTGAACAAGGGTGAGTTTCGAGAGGCAGTAAAGCTGAGATATGAGTGGAAAATTGCTGATAAGCCATCAGTATGCGTGTGTGGCAATACTTTCAATTTTGATCACGCAATGATCTGCAAGCGAGGTGGGTTCATCATACAGCGCCACAACGAGCTGCGAGATCTTGAGGCTGATATGCTTAACATCGTCTGCAATGATATCGAAGTTGAACCCGTTCTTCAAGAGTTAACTGGCGAGGTTTTACCAAGAGGAGCAAATACAACATCCGACGCTCGCCTTGATATCCACGCTCGAGGGTTTTGGGAGAAACAAAGGTCCGCGTTCTTTGACTTTATGGTTTGTCACCCCAACGCGGAATCCTACAAAGACCTGAGCCCTCAACAGATATACAGGAAACATGAAAACGAGAAGAAGAGGATGTATGCCCAGTGATGGAGTTAGAACACGGAACGTTTACACCATTAGTATTTACAACGACTGGAGGCAAGAGTGAAGAGTGCAAGAGGTATCATAGCACATTGGCCGAGCTCATAACAGCGAAGAAAGGCGAAGACTACTCTGCGACCATGTCCTGGATACTAGCCAAGGTCTTCTTTGCCATCTTGCGGTCAGCTCTACTTTGTCTCAGGGGGACTAGAGCACCCAGGAGGATAACAACGAACGTTCAAGAAACGGACTTCGAAGTAGACAATTCTCGTGCCAAAATGTAGGCTTAGACTTTTACCATAAATTCTTACTATAACATATACTATAACATACTACAACAATTTAGACTCACTTCCTTGTATATACTAGTAATTAATTATTAATGTAGTAGGATTATTTTATAAATAAATTATTATCATTATTATTATTATTATTATTATTATTATTATTATTATTTTAACGAAGTAAACTTTATAAATCTTTCCATAAGCTCCCTAGGTATTTTTGCGCAAGAATGCTCTACATTCTTAGAAATGTTAGGAAATGTTGGTCTGGACAAAAACTACCAAACGTACTGTGTTAGGAAAATGATGACTATTGCCATTCGAAGTACATTTATA